CGAGGCTTGCACCGGTGATCAAACAACCAATACAAATGTGCCTTCAGTGTGGCTTTTATCTCATTGGCTCCCTAATAAATCCACTTCTTCCCGTTTAGATGCATTCTTTTTAAAGTTTTGCGTCGCTCCATTGAAAAACATTCTAGACGAAGTTTACCCTGGTAAACCGGCTTTACAATAAGTTTATTGCAAGGCCCTGAGTTAAAAAAGATTAGAATGAAAAGCACATCATAAAGCGCGTTTGTTTGCCTTTTAATTCCTTTTTAACTAAGAATAAACTGCAACGAAAGGCTAAATCATTGTTAAATACGTTGCCTTCGTGGCATAGCTGATAAAATCGTTGAATGACAATTTTCAATTTTCTTTAACATTTGATTTTTGTCATTTTAAATAATGCAGAATTATCTTAACAATTACACAATTCTGAACAATTTGCTGAAGAGACCAGTACCAAAACATCTTTGCCAGCAAAACACCATGATATTTTGTTTGGCATCCACGCAAACGAAGATAATTACTTGAATACTGAAACAATTATGACAAAAGTACAGTATTGTAAATAATGATGTAACATCCGAGTTTTACTTAATAATTTCTTATTTTACCTTTTCTTTCCACTAAAATTCCAGTGTTTAGTTGTAAGCTTTTCCAAACTCTGAATCCAATGCAGTTTAGGCAGTTAGCTTAATAGCTTAGTTAGTTCTCTAAATCTTAATTTGTTATTGATCCACCCTAGACTAGTTATTGCAATTTGCGGGTCAGCCAATGTAATATTGATGAATCTGAAGATTGAATAAAAGCGTGTGAAGGCATTATTCTCTCTACACGAGAACTTCTATGATCAACAGATAAAGCATGGCTGTTGTTGTGGTTGCAAGCATAATGAGAAATCCAATTCTGAAACAAAACCAAAAGAAAGATATCGTTAATAACATAAAAAAGAAAATTTTCCAGTATTTAAAACAGGTAGTCCAAGCTCGAATTATGAGGGTTTGTACAACTTTCCAGGTTCCTGGCCGAGTGGTTTTACCCAAACGTTTCGTTCATTGCTGTGCAAAAGTGTGTAAAAAAAAAAAACGACTCATTCAACGTCGTGTGACTTCAATGTTCTGTAACATTGTCGCTTTTTTTCGTCAGTGTTTTAGTTCTTTTCTCTCCTCGATTTGCGTTTAGTTTTGTTTTTTTCATCAGACATCCTTTTTCTAGTTTTGCGACATGGACGAAACGAAACGTCATCCATAAATTGAGCTTGGATTCCCTGTGGCTTCATAAAAATAAATGAGAATTCTCACTTGAAAAATGTGTTGAAACTAATAGGGTAGCCATACTGCTCTGAAAGCCCAGCACAGACAACGTTAGCCGACGCACCAATAAGCGTGCCATTCCCTGCCAAAAAATACGAGAGACTCGTTTACTTTGTCTGATGGTGGTTACTTAGATTCGTATAAAATACTATTCCTGAGAGGAAACAAACCTTTACAACTAAACAACACGTGAACGCGACACACAGAGAACGTGATCGAACGGGGTAAAACAAAGATAAGCAAAAACAAGGCCACACCACAACACCGGTCTCACTGAAAATCTTAAAGGTGGTCAATTTACGTAATCATCACAACACCGGGAGCTACATTCCCCAATCTTAGCGAGAAGAGCGTGGAATCTATAACATGCCCTGCTAGCCGCAACAGAGAAGAGACAGGAGACGTGGCCTAAGCTTTATCGTCCTAATCCGACAACCATTTTAACCAAATGTCATAGCAAAAGCAGCACATTGTCCTAAATTATTTTCAGACCGCGAGCGTTGGTCCGATCTGGGTTTTGAACCCTCGACCTCCCGTACGTCAGTACGGTGCTCTACAAACTTGAGCAAACCGAGTGCGATAAATCGATAAATTAAAAGTTTTGCGGTGACAAGTTTTATGAAACATGATGTTTACTATCGATCAGATCTGCCGGGCAGATGATTTTTTTCTGCTTTGAGGCTTACCTCCTAAGCAGGAACCCATAGCTAGTGCCCAAACAAGGGGTTTAAGGTCTATCCCATGCGCGCTGAGTTTCAAAACAACTGGAATCTGTAAATGAAAGCAGTATTGTTGAAATAAACGTCCTGATCAAACTACCTTGACCTGTTTCTGCCTCAGATAAAACAGACATCTCATATCGCGCATGCGCGTGTGGTTCACAGAACACCTTTGCAAAGTGCGGCAAAGGAAAGAGGGCCAGAGGGTACTGGGATCTCATAAGAAATCAGATCATGGGGTAAGGGGTTAGTTATCTGGGTACAGAAATCTGAAGAAACAACCCTACCAACCATACTAACTTCACGTGCTTCTGCCTCTAGAGGGGACATTCATCTCGCACTTGCGCATGTAGCTAACAGCTAACCTTTGAAAAGTGCGACGGAGGCAGGGGGCCAAGAGGGCACCGGATACGGGGGTAAGGACAGGTCAACAGCATGAGGCAAACTGAACGCAACTACTTAAGGTAAAAAAAAAATTTTGACTAATAGTTTTCCTACCCAGAAATGATAACAGAATCGTGTGAGGGAGATAACAGAATCGTGTCGTGAGGGAGATTGAAGCTTCGCTTCAAAAGTCAGTATCTGAACAACTGCGCACCTACCCCTCCCTAAACCCCACAATAACTCTAACTTGTTACCAGTTGACTGCTGTTGGGTTACGGGACGGGTAGCTGCGCAGTTTTGTCAGATACTGACACAGCTTCTATGCGGACCTAAGAGTTCCTTAGAGTATTTCTTACCATAGCCGTTGCGAAAGGAATGTTGTCTATAAAGGAGGAAACCAACGCGGAGACCCACAAAATGATAATAATCGCAATACCGAGCTGATGAAGAAAAAAAAAGAAACTAAACGGCAAACAAGTTTAAATTTATCCAACCCTTATTTACTCATTAACGTCTTTGAAAAGGAGGGAAAAAAATTCTTGTGACCAAAATAAACAAAAATTTGTTTTCCGGTGTAAAAAAAAAAATAGATATGAGATTTCACCCTAAGTATACCACGCGCGCAAAAGGACTCTATTATCACATACCCCTTCCTTCCTCTATGTTTGACCCTTTAACTCCCAAGATCTCATAAGTAATTCTCCTTACTGTCTGCCAAACGATTCTCATTATGTTAGTCTAGAGAATTTGGTATCGGATCAATTAGTAATCCCACAATTGACATTTGTCTTCATTCTCATCACTTGTCTGAATGATGTTGTATAGAAATAGTAGAGAGAAATTCTGTCTTGGTCACTTGCGGGAGTTAAGGGGTTAATTGGTGATGACGTGTTCTTTTTCGGAAAAGAAGTTTCTTCAAGGAGGTGACCGATGACAACCTGCGATCGCTGATACTTAAACATTTAAATAATCAAACAACTTTCTTCGGAAGCTGATTCGTTAATTAAACCTTCTGTTACTTCAACCCTACTCGAGTTTTGTTAACACATTCTGCACTCTTCCCCAGGCCCCAAACTGAGTTTTTTTCCCCAAGCAGTCCAATTTTCCCGTTTCTAACTGTCATCAGTCGTAACGGGTGATCAAGGTGTTGTCAGTTGCATACTTTTTAAGAAGACAGTTTTATCTGAAAAGAGTGAGACAGCGTATTTTATTTACCTTAATTTTACTATCTGGATCAACACCAGGACAAAGACGCTGGGAAATTGGAGCAGAAACGAAAAAAGTTAGAGATGAGATTTTGCTACATTAAGGCACAAACATAAAAAATTACTCCCAGAACTACTTTTCTACTTTAACGGTTGCGCATGGTCTTGTAATGATGAGACCAGACTCCATCAAGCCAAGAATCCGCGCCAAGGGCAAAGGTGGTTAGCAAAAGACCAAAGAATGCCTTACTTTATGAAAGGTATATCAACAGATCTTCAGAAGAACCTACCTCTATTAAATTGAACGTATTTTCACCAAGAAAGTCCATGAGTCCTAGTTCATTCAAAGACTACAAAGGGAAAATATGTCTTATGATAATTACTGTCCACAAAGGGGGTTGATCCACCTATACTCGTCTCAAGATCTCTCGTTCACATTAAACCCTTTTGTTACCACACCCACACACTAGCGCCAGTCCCATGCATTTTAGGGTAAGCTTTCTTTTTTTTCTTTGTTTTTTTTTTTTTTAGGTAGAGTGGCCCATAACTACCGGCTGTTATCCCGCAATCAGTAAAAGAAGCGAATATGAGTGTATTCACTCCCCTTTGATTGGGATGCTAGCTCGATATAAGTAACCCACCAGCAATTTTTTAGTTCTCTGAAAGTTCGCCGTTAGCCCATATTACCTGGATGTTCTTGAGCGAGAACCTCGCTCAAGAACACAACGTAATGAGCCGCCCAAGGCAAGAACCCAAACCTCTCCACCCGGTATACAGCGCGGAAACTAAATGTCAACCGCATGTCTCACAAAAAAGTCTCTCTGACTGACCTTCATTAGGATGAAAAGTCCGCTGAAGAATACCAGAGTTGCCCATTCAACTTTCTCCATCAATTCTTCAAAGTGCGCCACGTCGGCCAGCAAGATAAGAAGTATGGCTCCGAGGACAGCAATCCATCCTGAGACAAACGGTGCAAAAAGATCGATTCAAAACTGAACGTAATTTTAAGTTTTCACAAAATCTTTCAGCTGAAGGGAAATGTCTGTACTAAACACTTATAATAAACTTCCAGATTTAAATAGACAATTCCGACAATTTGCTCGTTCTCTCGCTCGGTTCTGTTTTTATTTCTGGCTGAGAAAAACTACTATACAAGGTTTTATTTTCCTCGAGTAGTTTCCTTCAGTTTTGCTTTTCCCAGTTAATCAGCCCTTACCACCTTACCCAGCTTTATTACAAGATTACAGTGCCCTCGTGACCTCCTACCTTCGCTGCACTTTGGAAGGGTCTTCTGCTAGCGATATGCGCATGCGCGAAATGAAATTTCTCCCTTATAGGCAGAAGCTTTGTTTTCTAGCGATGTTTTGCTGTAGGGGGGATTGGGGGAAAGGGAATGGGGATGGGGGGGGGGGGGGGGGGGGAAGGTCAGTGATAAGTTTAAAATGAAAAGGCTATGATAACCAGAGGAATAGAGGTTTACGTCTAGTAGGAGGAGTCGAAATATGTTCAAATGGGAATTTAAAAGATGCAAGGCAAATGATAACTACATCAGACAGAAGACAGACACGCGTGAGGAACAAAGCGAACCGCATGATCGGCGTAGCATGATAGTTAGGAGGGGATCTACCCTTCTGAATCGGTTCCAGACCTCCATGGAGACCCAGACCCAGCGGGGGGTTTGGAGCGGGGATATACAAGCTGTTCTTTGGCTAGTGACACTTCCATAAGATTTCGGTCGGAAGGTCTTAAATAGATACAGCACTTACCTACACTAAGATTAAATTTGTGCTCCTCAAACGGTTCCACGAAAAAGGCGACAACAACCAGAAGGATAACGAGTAGACTCTTAAATAACAGTGCTTTATCTCTGATGACATACTAAACATGAAAATAAGGATTCCACAAAATAAAGTTTAAATCTTCACACAAATCAAGTCATAAATAAACTTAATCAAGGTATTTAGCAGACAAGGAAGAGCTTCGTAGCCATCTCTAACAATTCTACCTACGTTTGTAAACGTCAATGGCACACTACAAATCTAGCTATACCAAGCTGCTATGCAGCTTTGACGTAAAGCAAAATTGCACAATAAAGTCAAGAAACTGCCTGGTTATGAACTTATTTGCTTCGTTTGTTTACCTTTTCTTCAAGTGCTGGTAGATTTCGTAGAAAAGCTCCTTTCCTGGACCTGTCACAGAAATTATTTATTCCATTAATTGCAATTCAGTTTTAATTCAAGCATCAAAAATTCAATTAACCTTCTTACACCTCCGTCCAAAGTTGGAGATGAAACGTTTACGTTTATGTCAATGACGAGATTCTCAATTCATATTGACACATCATCGTCTTAACATATTAACAAAGTTATACTAAACAGTCACACTTCAAAATGCCTCTCTTCACCCAGGAGAGTACAAACTGGTATCAGCTAACTGATTAAACTGACTAATGAAAGGGGGGGGGGGGGGGGGGGGGGGGGGGAGGAGGTAGGTAACGATGAACTAGCATTTCGTCCAAGGGAAATAACAATACGCCTAATCACTTCATGCGACAGAAAACGAGCTAAATTCCTGCAGCTATATGTCGTGAGTAAGTCCTGTAGGCACACTTTACCTGTAATGCTAATAGAAAGGTTAAATAATTCTAGGAGGTGGTGGTAAACGCATCTTCACACGTTTGTCAGTACTTACGAATTTCGTTTCATGTTCCTGACATTATTTTCTAGCAACATAACCCTCTGCAGTAGTAATAATTTGACAGTTTTCTCCTCGGCTGGAACACTTGGCAAGCGCTCGGCAGTTCTTTTCCAGATCTCAGCTTCTCGTTTAAGCTCTGCGCAAAATAATGGAAATAAAGAAATGAGAAAAAGCAGCAAGCTCCCAGTCGGCGGATGAAAACGAGATCATTTTAGAGCAAATTTTGACGAAGTGTTTTATGTCAAAACCATATCTTACAGCCAATCAGGGGAAATAAAAACTGCTCGAGGAGCCAATGAGAACTGGTAGCACAAACATGTGACGGGCTTCGAGGGAAAACACGCGTGACCATATTGCCAATAAACTTGAATCTGATTGAGTTTTCTAAACCAATCAGACCGTAGTGAAGTAAAACGAATGCAAAACAGTATTACTTTTGACACTCAAATGAGAGTGCGTATGGTAAATCAATAACTGCTGGATTTTCAATGATGTGGTAAAATCACAACATTAAGTACGAGCTTAGTTACCTTCAATGATTGGCGGATCGTCATTGACAATTTTCACGTTTCGATAAAGGAGCCTTTGAAATGGAAGGAAAGTTTAATTTAGAAATGAGTACGAGAGGTAACGATAATCAGCTGGAAACTATTTTTAACCAGAAAATATCATTTTGTAGAATACCTTAAAACTAGATATGCCACTAATACGCAGACCACAATACCCCCAGCGAGATGCTTTGTGAAATCTGGAAACTTAATATGCTGCAAGGA